TGGCATGACAGCAGGGTCACTTTCTTTTTATCTTTGTCCTCACAGTTCCACTTGAACAATATCAAAGTAAGCGGAGGAGCTTTGGATTCCTGCCACCCCACAGTGAGTTTATATTAGCTTTTTTTTTTTTCTCAAATATGTCAAACAAGTTAACCTGAAAATATAGTGCAGGTAAATAAAGAACATTATTGTGTTGATTTTTACATTCTGAATATAAATTAAAAGAGAATGTTGAGAATTTGTTGATGAAACGTGAAAGAAGCGGAGTAAAGTAAAAATGTTTCAAACTATATTACATCATGATGTAATATAATCAGTGTACTAAAACAAACATGGTCAACTGAAAGCCAGAACGGTGCAGAAATCAGTCCAGTTTTAAGTGGATCTTATAGCACCTTTCACAGACATGAACACCACAAAGTGCTTTGACAGTAAATAACTAAAAACAATAAAAAGTGCACAAATATATTGAAGAACAATTAAAAACAGTTAAAAAAAACTTCAATTTGAATTTATTTGCAAATTGTGGTGGAAATAAGTGTTTGATCAATAACAAACAAGCCAGATTTCTGTCCCTCACAGATCTGTAAATATAAGAGGCTCCTCTGTCCTCCTCTCATTACCTGTAGTAATGACGCCTGTTTGAACTTGTTTTCAGTATAGAAAACACCTGTTCTCAACCTTAAACAGTCACACTCCAAACTCCACTGTGGTGAAAACTGTAGGGGGTGGAGCTTAGGGTGAATTAAGCTTTCCCCACATCTCTCATACACAAGGTTATGAGGAAAGTTTTACCAAGGTGTTTCTCATTACTTGTTAAAATCTTGACTGTGCGAAGTGAAAAGTGACACAATAAGTGAACGTTCAGACGAGTTCAAGTTGATTCATAAAGACTATGCAATCATTTATTTACACAAATTGAACAGATCATAAGAACACTTGATTGTGGTTATTCCTATAAAAGGTGTCAAAGTTAAATGAGATAAAAACTCGCGTCTGAATTTTAATTCACATCAACTCAGATTACTTATATAGAACAGCAAAACAATGAGCTCTGATGTTACAACCAACAATTTACTGGCACTTTTAGCTTAAGTTTTGGCAAATAAAGAACAAAGAAAAGGAGGAAAGTAAGGTTAGTATTATTACTGATGTTACTTTATCAAAGAGTGTGGTCCAACTGGATCAGCACGTCCCTTCTGCACTCAGTTTCCACATGACACGTCACCCGGAACACGTCAGTTTTACCTGGTGATGGCTTCTTAAGCGACCCCTGGGTAGGAACTGTCTCACCTCCGATCAGTCAGGGAACTTTTTAATCGGCTCGCTCACTGTTCCTTGGAGAGAAAGGTGTTATTTCAGGTAACTTTTCGTCTGTTTCAGTCCAAGCCAGAAAGATTCAAGCTGTACATCTGGTTCCTTCTTTCAAAATAAAATCTCCCCTCGGGAGTTAAAAACACACTTTGGAGGCGAGGAGCCTCGGGTGGGACATCTGGCTGGCGTGCCGAGCCCCGGCTGTTAGATCTTCCCTAGTTAGCTCATGGGCAAGACCTAACGGGCCAAACTGGCTTCTCCGGAGAGAAATTCAGCTTTCCTTCCAAGTTTGGCATCCAGGAAGAAGTGTGCCTCACTCAAAGGCGTCTGTGTTAGTAAAAGAAGTGGACGACTTTGGTTCCACCCTCAGGCGTTAAAATGAGTCAGAAAAAGGAAGAAAGATAAAGATTTGTCAGCCAGGCGCCAGTCAAGGTTAAATTCTGTGGTTGTTCAACAACAGAATATAACATTTCTTTAGCTTTCCTTCTGATAAACTCTAAGAGAAATCACTGCAAAACATTTATGATGATTAATTAACTTTTCTGTTTTATAATCAGTCTGAACCTTCTGTTAGTCCAGATAAATTAAAGATTTTCTCAAGAAAAATACACAATTATATTACTGTGTTCACAGTAAAATAAAAACTGATTTACATAAAAACACAATGAAAATATTGTAATGAGATTCTCTGTGATCTTTTATACCATTATTACTCTTTAAGGCACGATAAAAGAAAAGAAGTGGTTCCACTTTTCTTGTGACAGTCATTATCATGATTTAACAAATGCATAAACATTCGTAGTTAAACAACAAATTAATCACGAACAGAAGAGATTGTTCTGTCCATTACCTGATTAAGAAAACT